CCAGAAGTAAGTGAATCTGGTGAATCTGCTCTGTTTTCATCAAACATCTCTTTCAGACAAAGGTCTAATTCCTCCTCATCTGTTGTTACTGACAAAGGTGATGTTGGTCTATTATCTGAATAATTTAGGTAATAATTACAGTGATGACCAAATGTAATGAAAGGAGACAAAACCACGCCTTCAGTTAAGACCCCAGAACCTGGTGAGGAAGCCCTAAGATCAGTAAACCAATCTTTGAGCAGGGGAAACTCTAATTCTGAGGATAATGAGTCTGGGGACAATGCCGTGACGCTAAGCAACCTGTCCATTTCAATGTCTGACTCAACTGACTGTGGAGACTCTGGTCTGTAATCAACAAGAGATTCTAAATAAAAACCAGTGTCTTCCCAATCTGATAGGGAGGATTCTGGTGTTACTGACCTGCTGCCTGACACTGTCACAATGTAATGAGTATGCAAACAAATGAACTGAGGAACAGGTGAGTCAGGAGACAAGGGCCTAAGGTCTCCTTCAGAAGCCATTGTCTCAGGAGATAAAGGTTTGACATCACATCGCCAATCTTCCATCAAGGTAGAGCTACTGAAGTTTTCCAATTGCAAAGAAGACAAGGGATCTTGTAACACAATTGAGCTCAAGCTACACAAATGCTCTTTTGGTTTTTCACGAGTCATACCTCGCACCACATCAGCATATGTAAGAGTTTTGGCAGCAGTCCAAACTGTTGATGGAGTTATACTTGCATATGAGATTGTGGCCTTAAAACCAGAAGGAAGTGAATCTGGTGAATCTGCTCTGTTTTCATCAAACATGTCTTTCAGACAAAGGTCTAACTCCTGCTCATCTGATATTACTGACAAAGGTGATGTTGGTCTATTATCTAAATAATTTAGGTAATAATTACAGTGCTGACCAAATGTAATGAAAGTAGACAAAACCATGCCTTCAGTTAAGGCCACAGATTCTGGTGAGGAAGCCCTAAGATCAGTAAACATATCTGTGCACAGCGGAAACTCTAATTCTGAGGATAATGAGTCTGGGGACAATGCCGTGACGCTAAGCAACCTGTCCATTTCAATGTCTGACTCAACTGACTGTGGAGACTCTGGTCTGTAATCATCAACAAGAGATTCTAAATAAAAACCAGTGTCTTCCCAATCTGATAGGGAGGATTCTGGTGTTACTGACCTGCTGCCTGACACTGTCACAATGTAACCAGTATGCAAACAAATGAACTGAGGAACAGGTGAGTCAGGAGACAAGTGCCTAAGGTCTCCTTCAGAAGCCATTGTCTCAGGAGATAAAGGTCTTATATCACATCGCCAATCTTCCATCAAGGTAGAGCTACTGAAGTTTTCCAACTGCAAAGAAGACAAGGGTTCTTGTAACACAATTGAGCTCAAGCTACACAAAGGCTCTGTTGGTTTTTCACGAGTCATACCTCGCACCACATCAGCATATGTAAGAGTTTTGGCAGCAGTCCCAACTGCTGAAGGTGTAATACGTGCACCTGAGATTTTAGCCTCAAAACCAGAAGTAAGTGAATCTGGTGAATCTGCTCTGTTTTCTTCAAACATGTCTTTCAGACAAAGGTCTAATTCCTCCTCATCTGATGTTACTGACAAAGGTGATGTTGGTCTATTATCTGAAAAATTTAGGTAATAATTACAGTGCTGACCAAATGTAATGAAAGGAGACAAAACCATGCCTTCAGTTAAGGCCACAGATTCTGGTGAGGAAGCCCTAAGATCAGTAAACCAATCTGTGAGTAGCGGAAACTCCAATTCTGAGGATAGTGAGTCTGGGGACAATGCCGCGACGCTAAGCAACTTGTCCATTTCAATGTCTGACTCAACTGACTGTGGAGACTCTGGTCTGTAATCATCAACAAGAGATTCTAAATAAAAACCAGTGTCTTCCCAATCTGATAGGGAGGATTCTGGTGTTACTGACCTGCTGCCTGACACCGTCACAATGTAATCAGTATGCAAACAAATGAACTGAGGAACAGGTGAGTCAGGAGACAAGTGCCTAAGGTCTCCTTCAGAAGCCATTGTCTCAGGAGATAAAGGTCTTACATCACATAGCAAATCTTCCATCAAGGTAGAGCTACTTATTTTTTCCAATTGCAAAGAAGACAAGGGTTCTTGCAACACAATTGAGCTCAAGCTACACAAAGGCTCCGTTGGTTTTTCACGAGTCATACCTCGCACCACATCAGCATATGTAAGAGTTTT